TGGAGCAATTTCTGGATTCCCGCTGTGATGGGATCTGTTTCCGTGTTAGGTGGGGATAATGCCACCAATCGGTAAGGTCACTCATCTCCGCCTGAATCGGGGAGTGGGTGAGCTAATATAGCCGTTACAAGGTACGATCCCGGAAGACGTGGAGTACGATGACGAGATCCTCGGAGTTGCCCTGCGATGGTCGGTCTGACTAGGAGGCGATCTACCCGTAAGGTGCCAGGCTGCCTGGTGGCCAGCTGACTAGTGGCGAGCTGCCTGTGAGGTGCCGTGCTGACCAGGTGCTGAGTTGCCTATGAGGTGCCGGGCTGACCAGGTGCCAAGCTGCCTATGAGGTGTCAGACTGTTTGTAAATGCCAGGCTGCTTGGTAACGAGCTGCTTGTAAGTGTCAGGCTGTCATAATGTCATTGGAGGGCCAAATCCGCCTTCATCAGTTTTCTTCATTAATTTTGTATTCAAATTTCGCCATCAGTGGTCTCGATAAAGTTTTAGCTTAATTTTATGCAATGTGAAGTTTCAATAAAATGAAAGATAGAAAGATAGTGGTGTGACAGTTTGTAACAATCAGGAAAATCATATTTATAACAATCAGAGCAATTGAATTCACCCTCAAGATGTCTTTTAATGACTCCATCAATTGCCTGTATTGAAAACTACAACATCGGCTTCATGGTACATTGATATTGTCCGATCCATCAAATCCAGAAATGGAATCCTCAGAAAATCCAAGGAACAGTTAGTTATATAGTCCTTCAGTACAGAAAATTCATACAAAAATAAACTAATTAGAAGTAGAAATACCAAGTATGTTAAAAAAGATTCTTGCTAATGTGGAAACAAAACCGGGAAAACTTGCCTCATATCTGAATGCATAGAAACCTTCTGTTTCGAAATTTTTCCCTAAGATCTCATACAGTCGGCTCGTCTGGGAGACTATGACGAAGAGTACATACAAGAGACTCCCACATATTCCTATTCAGAGAGTCCCCCACAAAAACCACTCTTCCCTCTCATTCTCTCGAGAATATTAGTTGCATTCAAGCTGTGAAATAGATATATCAGCACGCAAAACAGATTTAAGAAAGATTGTGTAGCTTAACAGTGCAGGATGGTGTGCAAATAGAAAACTTTTTAGACAATGAGTTGGTAAGAAACTCCAAAGAATTCCATCCCTTGGAAATAGGGATAATAATTTTTCCCATTCTCTTAATTTTAAGTAAATTTATTTTCTAAAATTAATTTTATTTTAAAAATTTTGGGGATTCAGCCCTCAATAGGATCTGATTCCCCAAGGATGAAAGGTCATTTTTATCGCCAGTGGGATCAGGATTGAGGAAACTTCAAATCTGTCCCCCCACAGAATGCGCCCTAAAAACGTTCCACAGCACATCCCAATTGTGTATTGGGACATCTCCCAGTGACAAATACGGGAGATGTTTTCAGTACACGCTGAGATATGTATGTGGGACATTTTTAGGCACATTTTGTGGGGGCAGATGTGAACTCAATTGAGGACGGAGATTTGTTTCAAAGTCAAGATTAGGGAGGAAAAGTATGGTTTCCACTCAGAACTTACCCCGTTCTCATTTGTACATGAAACTAATAAAAAAATTCAACTATGAAGGTTAGGTGGTTTTTGGCGATTTCTCAGATCTCCTGTCCACTCTCCCCTTGCAATAATATTATATAGGAAGATGAGATGTTCTCCATGTATGACTGCGATGTTATATGAATAAACGTGACAGAGTTTGTATGGGCAGGATATCCGGACTCTTTTTTGATAAGGTTTTAAAAACCAATCCAAAAATAGAACCACTTTAACCATCGGCTTTAGGTCAAACAGTTTGGCCATTTAGTCCAAACAATCAGCCCATGACATTTTAAAACTAAAAAAATAAAATAATTAAAATAAATATAACCTAAAAACTGTTGTCCGAGTTAAATGGTTTAACAGTTCAAACGTTTTGATCAGTGGTTTGTTAACTAATTCAATGATTTTTTGGGAAAATCTGGGCCAGGTAAATAATGAAACCAAATTAAGTGTCTTGTAACTCCTGTTCACTCGCAACTAGTTATCAACGACTAGACGCTCGTGTTCGCAGCAGATTCGTTTGAATGCAGCGAGATCATAAAAAGGATCTATTTATTTAGACACCCCCTCGTAGTTTTACATATTCTTACATTCTATCTTCTAGTTTGTATTTTATTAAAACAATCCTTATAGTTTGCGATGACTTGTTCCCCTTTGGAAACGGCCACATGACTCCTTGAGCAAGTGGAAAATGTGAAAAGGTATGAACGCAAGATTTTTTATTTCAAAAATGTCATATTTTTGTAGTTCATCCCTTTTCCAAATAAAGTTATAATATGGGGAGAGGATTTATCTGTTTCCTAAAAGGTTAATAAAAGAATTATTAGGGCTATTTTTGTAATAAAGACCTTGGGCTAATACCTCTTCATGTTTTTGGCATGCCTTAAAGTAGGGGTGCCAATTGGAATGGATTTGGTCTAATTGATCCAGTCCAATGTGAGTCCATTATAAATGGATCAGATCCAATTCAATCCAATGAATGTTTTGGACTAATTTGGACCGGTCCAATTCAATGTCTAGACCGTCCAATCTATTTAAATTTATTTTGATTTAGATTGGTTTCAACCCAAACACAGTTCATTGACACATATATTCTTATCATATATCAATGGATCAGATATTGGCTTAATCCAACCCAATTGGATATAAATTTGTTACAGATGGACAGGTCCAATCCAATATGTCTTGTTGGTCCATCCAAATTGACTTTGAACTAGACGGGGTCCAATCCAAAACCGGTCCATTGACACCCTTAACTTAAAGGATCATGTGATCATTCCTATGTAGAAATACAAATGGTTTCCAATGGAGGGTCAATTAAGTAAAATATATGCAAACTATAGGGGTGTTTTAATAGGGTAGGTTTTAAAAAATATATGAAACTATAAGGGGTGTCTAAAGAAATGACCCTAAGGCTCCATTTGAAAGATTACAAATGCGAGTGAGTAGACATGGCAATTGGGTTGGGTGGGTCGGGTTCAGATTGGGTCAAGACACTTCAGGTTGAATTTCAGGTTGGGTTGTCAAATGCTAGACCCTAACCCAAAATGTTCGGGTTAGAGTTGACCTATGGGTCAATTCAGGTCATATTGAAATTTAAAAATATAAAGAAAAAATACATGAAAATTTCCAAAATTAAAGGAATTAACCTTAAAAATCCAAATATAAAAAAAAACTTGAACATTTAACAACTCAAAGAGTAAACAGTAAAGACTAAAGACTAAATAGAAAAATTAAAGAGTGGAAGCTTCTAACAATGCAGAAATAGTCCCAATTAGACCTGGCCGTTGACCCATGACCTAACCAAACCCAGTTTTTTTTTCGGGTTGGGTCGGGTCAAGTCATTCTCCCATTCATGTAGCTATAAATATGAGACTCTAATCCTGTTTTTTTTGGGTTGGGTTGGGTCAGGTTCGCGGGTTGGATCAACTTTTTGCTAGATCTACGAGTGAGTGCAAATACGCACTTTGGTTCAGTGTTTGCATCCAAACCGAGAGCTTATGAACTTTGCATTCAAAGTTAGTTAATGTTAAAAAGGTGTATTTCAATATTGAGATTCATATTTGCACCCATTACAACAAAATTGGTTTGACAATAAGACTTAGTTTGGAAAGAGTGCAAATGTAAATACATACAAAATAATACAAAATATAAGGTTTTGCACTCTATATATTTGTATTTGTACTCTTTCCAAACTAAGTCTAAAGTAAATTTATCAATGTAAAATTAGACTAATTTTGTATTTGCATGAACCAGAATGCACTCTATATATTTGATTATTTGTATTTGTACTCTCTTCAAACAGAGCTTAAAGAAAATGCGGATACAATTTAACTACGTGTGTCAAGCATCTATTGGTTGATGAAATATTAATGACTTACAGCTGAGGAGCTCGATGTTTGTGGTGCAGTTTCACTCAGTTTTTGAACCACCGTTGACTCAAACGGTTGGACCGTTCAGCCCAAAAATTGTTCAAGCAACCGATTCCGTTTTACTCCAAACAAGGTCTCTGGTAAAAAACCGTTGAATTAATCAACAATCCGTTGATTCAGGTAGTCAATCCCTCGATCCGTTCAATGGTTTTTGACCTTTTTATTTTTAATTATTTTTTATTTTGTATCAAAACGAGTCATCTATTCAAATTAGACGATCGAACTATTGACCTGAAAACCGGTGACCAGAACGGTTCCATTTCCATATCATTTTTTAAAAACCATGGTTTCACTAATGAATCCTACTTCCAATTTGCAACAAATAACGAAAGCAAGAGATAGCTTAGAGAGTAGAGATACACATGTAGATAACCCATGAATTTTAACAAATACCACCTGATTGGTTAAACACATTTATGATACCAGTTGATTGGCTATAAAATTTCAAGGTTTTTAAAAATGAACTGGACAACGAATTGGTCAGGGGTCCAGTTCCTGGGTCCAACAGTCCGACCGTTCGAACCAAATGGACAGTTCGTTCTGAAAAAAATAAAAAACGACCAAAACTGCTAAACGGTTCGAACACCTGAATCACCGGTTTACTAACCAAATCAACGTTTTTGGGCAAATTAATAGTTTTGGAGTAAAACAAAACCAAGACCTGACCGGTTACTGGTTTTCCCAGTCCGACCGTCCGGTCCGATCCGGTTTCAAAAACCATGCAAAATTTTCCGATCATGTCTTTATGCACGGCTGTAGTGTCTTCTGCGTAAGTGTAGGTAGAATTTTTGTGGTTAGGATTTAGGAGATCCGGTTGGCAGCTGACTAAACTTAATGACTTGCCTTACCAGCAGCAATCCAGGTGGCAATCAAACTTCTTTTTAAGCACGTAAGAAGAAGAACCAGTGCATCATCGACGATCTTAGCCGTTAAAATATCAAATTTAGATATTGAACTTCTGATTGCACGGTGAGATCAAATGATAATGATCTGCATTGGGATCTAACCAGATTAACTTGTTCAATGACAAGCAGATAAACTTGGCATTCCTTGACTATTTCCCCCCAAAAAAATTCAAGCAAAAGCTCAACCAGGCCAACCAATTTGAGATGGGTAATTACACAACAGAAGAGATAACTTTCCTTTTTGTACAGATGAATACAAACATTCAGTTGCTAGGATTATGAACTCAATCATATAATTGCAGTTCAAAAACTCTTCAATTTGGTCATAAGAACCAGAGCTGTGTCTCTAAGCCCAGAGAGTTCCATCTTTTTTTATCATAAGATTAGATTACCTCGGGCCAGAGAGTTCCATTGCTTCTACCACAAGCGAAGATTCCTCTATATAGTCTGAATATCTCTGAGGCAGGTTTTCAGATGATCTCAATCTTGGTGTTTCAGCCCTCTGTGAGGCCTCCCACTTCTCAGCTAAACCATCACCTTCCAACATCCGTAAGACCTCCGACATTTTTGGACGCTGAGAAGGATGGAATTGTGTACACAAAAGAGCAACCTTAACCATCTCCTCTAACTCAACTCTATCAAAGTTGTTATTCAGACATTTATCCACCATGAGATTGAGCTTTCCCTCCTGATGAAGCTTCTTCACCTGCACAAAATAAGTAACAACATCAGAGACACTAGAAGGATATCAACTTGTATATTGGCTCGTTCTAAAGTCCTGGCCTAAAATTCTTTTTCGGTTGTAAAGTATTCTTTAGAGTTCTTTCTTGGAATTCTTCTAGTGCAGAAGTATATCTTCAGAGTTAAAGGAACCCCATCATTAAGAGTGCACAAGGCCAGTCCCAAGGAGCACCACTTGGGGCTTATCCAAATTGGTTCCTCGGAGATTGGTGAACCACCATACCAACCTGTGGCACAGTTTTGGATGGTTTAGATGATAAAACCTGATCCAACAAAAAATCCACAGCACTGGATATCTGGATTTCCACCATCATAACTATGCTTTACATTTAATCTGGGGAAATTTCGATTTCCCTTAAAGCTCAAGTCTACCACCAGAGCTAGAACAAGAGTTCAGAAGGGCACACATGGTATAGAAGTCAGATCAACCAATCCATAAACAGTCAAAGATTGCAAACAAAGAAGAATAAAGTACATTGTATGGAAAAATCATCCAATTGGATCAAATTTCAGCCCAGGAAGACAAGTGCCAAGAACATGGAATATGAGAATGGAAACTTTAAACCAACAAATAAGTTGGCCGCACCCTTATTACGTATCTGAGAAACCTTCCCTGTGGACAATGGGCATTCCTCCATGATCCATGCACACACACACACACACATATAGAGAGAGAGAGAGTGTACCCAATCAAGCATTACACCTTTCTGGCTCACTGCCCGTCCAAAATCCAGAGCCTTCTGACCTGTAATCAGTTCAAGAAGCAAGATACCAAAACCAAATACATCTGTCTTTTCTGATGATTGACCTGTTGATAAGTACTCAGGAGCTATGTGGCCAACAGTCCCACGGATAGCTGTGGTGACATGAGAATCCCTGTGATCCAAGAGCTTTGCCAATCCAAAATCTCCAACAACCGCTTCAAAATCTTCATCAAGCAGAATGTTGGCTGCTTTCACATCACGGTGAATAATTTTGGGGTCACACTGTTCATGCAAATAAAGTAGACCTCTAGCAGTCCCTAAAGCTATACTCTTTCGTCTTGACCAATCTAGAGCTGCCTTTCCATGAATATGATCTGGTATGGAAAAACATGTTTCAAACAATCATAGACTATTGGAATAAACCACCAAAAAAGACTATCTCAATAATCTGTACTGACTTAGTAGTTGAGGAATTGAAAAATCAATTCAAACAATAAAATTATGAAATAACGCAGACCTAGATGACGCAATCTTCTGCTACAAAACTTCACCGAGCCAACTCAGTTACAACTCACAAATGTAGTTTAGAATTTACTAAAATAGATGCGCTGTTTATAGAATAAAACGGTGTAATTCAATGAGTCACACTAAATGACATGTTTCAGAGCCAAGTTTTACTATTATGGTTATGGCACATTAAAACAGGTCCCATGATAGCAGAGGATAAAATCAACAAATGGAAAAATATCTGATGTCATCAGATGTTGAAAAGAAGTTCTTGAAAGTTGAGTCCCCAATAGTGTAGTTTTTAATCTAACCAAATCACTCACCTCTTAATTGAGATGCTACACTTCCATTTGGCATATAAGGGTAAACCAGGAGCCGTTCATTCTCTGTCATGCAGAACCCACGAAGTCGGAGGAGATTCCGATGGACAGCCAAGCTTATTGTCTCAACTTCTGTCTGGAATTGGACTTCACCACCAGCTGCATTATAATCTTTCAACCTTTTGACAGCCACCAGACTCCCATCTGGCAAACAACCCTTGTAAACAATTCCAGAGCCACCACTTCCTAAAATGTTCTTTGAGTTGAAATGGTTAGTGGCTGATCGGAGTTCCTTAAATGAGTACTTCTTCAAGTGGCCCAAGCACACCTCTGGATCACACTGGTCTGCCACGGAACATTTAAACTGAGAAACTAAGGCACATTATACAACAATACAATGATATGTGCAGAGGAAAATAACTTCTTGCAATAAATGAAGTCTTATCAGTGATTCAGTATTGTTAAACATAAACAAACTAATTTAACCAAATAAAAAAAGGAGTTAAACAGAAAATGCACAAAAAAAAATCTTATTTAGGAGGGGCATTACAAGTCGTGCACATAGTCATCACAATCCAATCCATCATACTCATTTAACAAATTAAGAAAACAAAAACAATGGCTTTAAATTGCCCATAATTTATTTGTTAGATCTTGCTCAACACACTTTTTGCTCTACAAGTTGTCCCAGGCATTCACATGAACACTTCCATGCACACCTTTTGAACCAGATATGTGGCACATTAAGGGCCAGTATTCTTAGTGAACTCCACGATATTATGCAACCATGGCTCAATATACAATTGATCAGCTACCTCATAGGTAGAAATATATGGCTAAATAGCCAACCAATCAGAAGACCTCAAGTTGCCATTTTTACAGTCATACAGCTCACAAAATGTGCAGCCAATGATTAGGACATGGGTTCTCAAAGCATATCTAAGGATACCCAATCAGTAATGCGGGCACCAGTTGAAACAGTAGAATCTAGCAAGGAAGATAGATCTGGAAAGATTGCATGTGTTCACATACTAGTACAAGATGTGATCCACGAAAAAAAAAACTACAATAGGAATAGGTACTGACCATTAACATCAAAGAAAATCTGCTTGTTGTATCTGTGTCGCCACCAGAGAAGCAGCCCAACAGCAACAATGATGAAAGAAATTAACACAGCACTTACCCCAAATCCAATAGCAAGACGGTGGCTTTTTGCTCCTCCAGAATCTGACTGATCTGGAAAGCCAAAGTTATTTATAGCTTAGATGTTGGCATACTCAAGTAAGTAGTCTTTACAATTATTTAATTGTGCAATACAAATGTATATGTGCTAATTGTGGATTTGTAGGTGCTACCTCTTGGAACATCTGGTGAGAAAGAAAGTGGCTCTGGAGACATGGCAGAACAGTTAATTTTAGTATTTGGCCCACATAGCAAAGGGTTCCCAATAATCCTGTAGTAGGAAATAAAGATACATAATGTTAAGAATCAACATAACTTGAAAAGAAAACAAAAACATTATAAGACTGAGAAAAAGGGGTACTTGAAAGTTCTGGCAGATATTTTTGGCAAGGAACCATTTAAATTGTTATAAGAAAGATCCCTACAAGCAAAGTTAACTTAAATTGGTGAATTCACAAGTTTATGGATATATAAAAAAAAACGATTGTAAAGTTAAGAGTGAGCCAATGATATAGACATACACCAGGGTGAAACCTTCAACATTGGACAGAGACTCAGGGCAGGGTCCAGTAAGGCTGTTGTTACCTAGTCGCCTGACTTGTTCAAAAGCCAAAAGGAAGAGGAAGAGGAGGAAGAAGTAACAACAGTTAGCTTTTGGATGAGAGTGAGTTTAGCATGAAGAAAATAACTATCCAAGGTAGTCTGATTGTAAGCAAAGAAATATTTCATTATGTTCCTTGATTAAGAGTAAAAGAAATTTTTTAGCCACTTTATTTTCTCAAGATGCAATGGATTACTAAAAGCATCTTAAGGTTTAGACTTGTATGGTTAAAAATTAAAAGTGAAAACGTTCTCCTAACTTACAGATAATTAAGGTTCTTAAGGTCCCCCAGAGAACTCGGTATCACACCACTGAACTTATTGTTTGAGAGGTCAAGTTGCTCTAGCTTCTCCAGCTTTCCTATCTCAGCAGGAATGGGGCCAGATAAGGCATTGTTCTGCAGCGACCTGCATCAAAATACAAGGCTTTCAAGAATGGTGCTTAGCAAGGATGTTTCCTAAATTTCCCAAACATAATAAAGAAACACAAATAAATCAGCCTCTAAGTCTGTGAAACCAAGGCAACTAACTTGAAGCATATGATTAAGAGGAAGCAACAGAAAAAAAAAGGGTAGCTCTAACTTACACCGATTTCAGGTTACTGAGGTTTCCAATTCCTGGAGATAATGTCCCGGACAAACTCTGACTAGCCAATCCTCTGATGAAAAAATTGAAGTAAAAAAACAAATGAGTTCTGAGCAAAAAATCTGGCTAAAAATCAATGGTTATTTTCTTCTTAGTCATGCATTTGAACCATATAGGAGATGAAATGTTATAGCATCTTACAGAGAAGACACATAGCCATCAGGGGAGCAGGTAATCATCCTCCAGCCACAAGGATCGACGGAAGTACTATCCCAATTATCCAATACGTTATGCGGGTCTCTTAGACCAGTTTTTATGTTCACCAAGGCTTCAACTGCATTTGAATGAAACGAAGAAAAGTGTAAGAACAGATAGGGTGACTCGTATAGTCGTCTTCTTTTCTTTTAGATCCATTTTTACAGGCTGACCAGATGCGGGTAAAAGACTAAATCGGAATTGCACATTACATAACATAAAGCTCAAGCAGTATTAAAGCGGGAAAAGCATTGGTTGCAGTTTCCCGGTAAAACGTCCGATGACTTAAAACTGGAATCTCATACCAAGGAAACGATTACTCTAGAATCCAGATTGGTTTGCTTGTCAAAGAGCTATCGAAAAAGAGAAGTACATCGAGAGAGAGAGAGAGAAGAGAGAGGGGGGAAATAATACAAAATTTAAATAAGAAAAGATAATACAGACCTTCATAATTTATTCCAGAAGGTGAAAGAGTAGCAGAAGACTCCTCTATCCAAGACAGAACTAGTAAACCAACTCCCCAGAAAGCTAAACTCCCTTCCATGCTCTGTTTTCAGTGCAGAACTCACAGCCTTCTCACAACCAGAACCGACACTCTGGCATGAAATCAGATCCAGGCAACCACCATAACAGCAGAATAAAGCAATTGGAAATATTGCTTAATTCAAACCAACCTTATGAAAGAGCTCTCACAAGCCCAACCAGATTACCATAAAATGGAAATAGTACTTTCGCCTTCTCCTTTCTTGAAACGAACCCAATCAACAGTCTATCACTGTCCATGAACGCGTGCCAGAACCGCCGCTACTCCGTAGGAAAAGCAACCAGACGAAATTCACTCCCATAACCACCATTTGAGCGGGAAACTAACAGAAAGAAAACAACATTCCCAAAGAAACTCTTTCATAAAGCTCTCCAGATCAAAGTTGAGATTCAAAAGGCAATCCCAAGAAATCCCGTGCTCAGCTACAAAGAAGCAAGTAAAGAACAATGGTTTCAATCAAACTCCTTAATGTCAGCACCTTTTGGACCGAAAAGAAAGAGAAAAAAAAAAGGAATTTTTAGAGATAACAAGCATTCAAGCAAGCAAAACGCCCATCATTTCTGAATTCTGAAATCCTAGAGACTTGATAATGCTGGCTGTGATTTCTATCCGTTTCGATCGATCCCCACATGTTCCGTCTGGGTATAATGTTGGTTTTTATCCCTGCCCTCTTCATCCTCTTTGATTCTTTCCCGTATCTTCTTTCATCAAAGAAGCGAACAACACACACTGCCAAACACAGAAAAGCCAATACAAAGCGCCAAAGACGACGCAGATACAGATGTTGTACAAGCAAAAATGTAAAAAGATGTATATTGTATATATATATACAGACACGACGTTACTCTTCAAGATGAAAAGAAAAACAGAGAAAGAAAAAAAGCGGGAATTCTTTCTCCTTCAGTCCTTTCTATTTTTTGCTCATTTGTTGCTGGTTGAGTGATTGGTCATTTGGACAGTTGGACTGAAAGATGAGAGCAGAAGACCAGAAAGAAAGAACAAATGGTTTGTCAAGAAAACAGGAGAGAGAAAGTACGGAGAGAGAGAGAGAGAGAGAGAGAGAGAGAGAGAGAGGGGGCAGGTAAAGTTCTTGACGTGCTTGGGTTGTCTCAAGCTCTCAGCCTTTGTTGGCTCTTTTTTTTTTTTTTTTTTGGTTTTTCGCTTGAGAAAAATATATAGAGGTAGATAGATATCATTGAGGCCGTCCTAACTCAGTAACTCTAAGATTTTTTTCTTTTTTTCTTTTTTTTTGGGAGGGGGGTGGTTCACAAGTGGGAAACTGAGGAACAAACAACTAGTTTCCTCCATATACCAACGACCCACATGTTTCAGCCATACGACCCGACCCATCCAGTCTGTCTGTGAGTACGATATATAAGACATGTTTCAATCCCATCCACGTACCTTTTAATTAGTGAATATAGATTTGTTTCACTTAAAAATAAAGCGTTTTGGACAAACAAAAAAAATGAGAGAAAAAAGTACTTAGCATTCGGTAACATGGTCAAACACTAAGAATATGGAAGTTAGAAGACCATCTAACATCACCTGTATGTAGGAGTCTCAATTGGATTAGATTTCGTCCAATCCGATTCAGTCCATGTGAATCCATTACAAATGTATAAGATCCAATTCAATCCGATGAATATTTTGAACTAATTTGGATTGGTCCTATTCAGTGTTTGGACCCGTTCAATCCGTTCAGTTTTATTTTAATTTAGATTAATTCTAATTCATTGACACCTATATTCTTATCTTTTATCAATGGACTAGATATTGTTTCAATCCAACCCAATCCAATATAAATTTATGATGAATGAGCTAGGTCCAATCCAATCCAATACCATAAAATCTGATTGGTCCAATTCAATATGTCGTGTTGGTCTGTTCAGTCCATCTAAACTGATTTTAGTTTAGAGGGGTCCAATCCAAAACCGGTCTAGACACCCCTACCTGTATGAAAAAAAAAAAAAAAAAAAAATTGTTGCAAATTGAAAGGATTAGAGGGTATAAGTCGAAGTAGTAAAAAAATGGTTTAAACGATGATACTTTAATAATGGATATTACATTAAGCATAATTAATGGTGAAATATAATTAAATATAATTAGCGCTTTAAGGTGCAACTCGGGCAGGCTTGGATTGGGCTTATGAAAATTTTGAATGGACCCTGTCCAAAAGCCTAAGCTGAGTGTAATGTAAAATGCAAATTCAGACTCGCCTGAATTGCTCCCCCAAATATATCTATAACTATAGCCATTTCCACACAATTGGGATAAGGTTAGATGATGATGAAGAATAAATTCATTTTCATATTTTTAATAATATAATAATATAAAACATTGTTGTCATTTTTAGTTTTATCGCAATGAATACCCGAATCATATCTACGAGTCTTTCACCCAAAAAAATAAACGAATCATATCTATGAGTGCAATTCAAATTCCATGGATGGAATGCGATTCCAATTTAATACAATCCATTTGCAACCTTATCTCAATGACATCAAATATTGAATTGATACCGTCTATTATTCCCCAAAAGCTAAAGCCTAGTTAAATATTCAATCTGTCCCTAAATTGATGATTATTAGAGATAATTGTGCGATTCTGCGATTCTTTCTCTCTTTAGCCTTTCGTTGGTTCTAATTTGTGAAACGCGCCGATGGTGACGGAAACACTACAGAAAGTATGAAGGGGAAGATGCGATTTTACTAGAATGCGCCACAGGTGACATTGTCCCAAAATCTGGGGACCAGACTCGACCAAGAAAAATCCACAACTGCGCAGAATGAGGTCCCAATCACTCGAGACTACAGAGTGAGTCCAGAACTCATCTGTCTAATCTGGGCGCCGATCTGTTAGTTTTTTTGGCGCTTCATTTTTATCCTTCGTTCACGATTCATCACCTTTTGTAACTTAATAAACCTCTAAAATACGCTGGGTTGGGGCCTTGGGGGGTTATCCCGTTGTGTGGGCTGCATGGAGAAAAAAATAAAATAATATATAAAAACCTTTTCTGGAATTTCTGATAATTATAAAAACCTAACAAATACCTCCCCTGAATTTTTGAAAAATTCAATAAAAACCTCCTTTCTCACACTAGTATGTGTTTGATTCCATTCTCTCCGTTCCTAACGGGGTCGGGTATTTTGGCAGGGCCAAGGTCGGGAATGGGGAATGCAATCCCCACCCCGACCCGGCCCAGATTAATATATAAACATATTATATATAATATAATAAAGTATTATATATTATATAATTATAATAATTATTATTCGTTTTTTTAAAGATTAAAAGTAAAACACAAAACACTTTGACTTTGAGTCTTTGATAGAGAGAATGGAGAACTCTGTCTCTAAACCCTAGCTTTGTCTTCTTTCGTCTTCGTTGCTGATTCGCTGACCGTTGTCATTGTCGCCACTCACCCGTCAAACATCGGACAAAGGACAAAGATACTCAAGTATCAATAGAGGACATAGAAGAGATACTCAAATAAGAGTTATAGTTCTTTAATCTTCCTTCAACATCCGTCTATCGTCGTCGTCTTGCCGACCACCGTCGCCATTGTCTGTCGTACTCTCTCTCTCGTCATCAGCCTCAACTCTCACAACGGTCCTCTCTCTCTCTCTCTCTCAGTCTCTCAGTCTTTCTCTCACAGTATGGTCCAAGATGTGTGCATACATATCTCATCGGGGATTCAGGTCACCAACGGGGAATTCATCCCTGTCGGAGTCGGGGATGGGGAATGTAATTCCTGCCCCATTGACATTCCTAATTCCGTTTATATTTTTTCATTCAACATTTGTCCTTTATCTGCTTGCAAAACTAATAAAGGTAATAATTACAATCGTTTATGACAAATAGGCGCCACATCAGCATAACAATGAAAAAACACCTAACTGTTTGTGGAAGTTTTAAAAAATAACACTCCCAAACGGTATGCATGCACAGAAACCGAAATCCACTCTTGTCATTTTCGATGTGTACGGAAGAGCAAGAGAGGAAAACTGCAAAAAACATTAAGCTAATGTATCAATATTTTCTATGTACCAATTTTACCCTTTTGTAAATTGTTTTACATATAATATTACTTAAATAACCCCGTTTAAACTCAACAAAACGCCCAATGACCCCAAGATAGATGACTCTGAGAAGAGCCATTATCGAAATCCACCATCTCAATAAGAGAGAAACCCCAAAAGAACATCGATTCTCTCAATCTTATTGTGGACTTCTTCTCTCCAGGTTGTGGAGGATGCAAAGCTTTCCATATGAAGGTATGATTAGTCTCTATCATTATTCATCATAAGGAAGCATATATTAGTGCCATTCCTTTCCTTATTTGCTTCTTCCAAAGTTGAAACTTGATGTAGTGCAATCCGGCTGCTCCCTGTAGGAGATGATCTGGCTATCAGCAACGACGGACTCAATGAACCTACAAGAGATGAACCAGAGAACCCGGGGTTGTTTACCCAGCGGGGTTTCTCCGATGCTTAAGTTAGCACTTGGTTGCGAGCTGAAAATGATATTAGATTGTGAGAGAGCTAGAGAGTAGAGATTACGCGTCCCCTCACCCCCAGGGGGTGAAGCCTTTATATACTGGACTCCTTGCGGGTTCGGTGGAATAGTTCCGGAATTCTCGCTACGACAGGATCCCTTTCCGTGTTGGTTGGGGATAATGCTACCAACCGGTAAGGTTGATCATTTCCGCCTGAATCGGGGAGTGGGGAGATAATATTAGCCGTTACAAGGTATGATCCCGTAAGATGCGGAGTACGGTGACGAGATCCCCGGGGGTTGCCAAGTGGTGGTCGGTCAACATTGCCTGAGCTCGTGCCCTTTAGATCCGACCTGATATGAATGCCGAAGTGCTTGGGGACCGAGGTGGTCCTGATGTGACCTTGCACCGAGGTATACTCGTCCCGAGGTGGTCTGGTTATCCGAGCTCGATCCGTTGGGGACTTGGCGTGTCAGGCTAAGCTGTTGTCCTACTAGTTAGGTCACGCCTGGGTCAAGCCACCAGGTTGGCGCCTGCCAGGCCGCCAGTCCGCGCCTTGGCCAGGCTGCCAAGTGGGACACCATCAACTTGGCTAAGGCAAGTTGTTGCCTAAGTGGTTCTGGGTGTCACCTAGTTGTTCCGAGGTGCCATATGTCACAATATCATTGGAGGGCCAAATCCGCCCTCATCAAAACTCGATACCAAAATCAAAGAAAAGAGTTTCACAGGCTTAAATCCAAACTTTTGTTTTGTTTTTTTCTTTATACAAGTATGTCAATTTGCAGATGGAATATTCGAATATTATAAGCAATGGCGCCGTTGCAAGTGTTACAATTTACATTCTTTTGCTCTGACAAAAAGAATAGTAAATGTGAACGAGATGTTAGGCAAATATGGTATTTTATGAAAACTTTAAATGATGCATCAGGGGTAATTTCGTAAATGTTGACATTTCCAGTCTAAATCAATGAAGAAAGGGAGGTTTTTGTTGATTTTTTCAAAAATTTATGAGAGGTGTTTATTACAATAAAACTATAGGTTTATGATTATCAAAAACTTCATGAGAGCTTTTGTATTAAAAAGAATAAGCCTCTACTTGGACTAATTTGAGATAAAAACTCTAATATGCACAAATTGAACTTTGGAATCCTCCATGAAACTGGAGCATGATGGACCAGTGGATTGTGATTGACCTACGATTTGAGAAACATGGAAGTAGAAGAAGAGTTCAGATCACCTACCCACGCTTCATTACAGCTGAACATTGAGAAGTGAGAACATCTCCCGTGTTTGCATGTTACCATATGTTCTTAATGTACAACTGTATAGTATCATGTGGGTATCCGTGGGTAGGATTCTTGTGGGCAAGAGATGAATTCGTAGAAAAGAGGAGGATAATGTGCACGGTTCCTAGATTACATTGGGCTGTGGTTTTATCTCTTGTCGCGATAATTACAGAAAAAGCAAACAAGAAAAAAATAATCTGCCAATTTTTTTTTGGGTAAAAGGTAATTTTTCAGTAAATCAAGGAGGGTACATTTTCAGTCAGCCCTAACATTACCAAAACAATAAAATATATATGATACTGAAAAGGCTTTGACCAATAACAACCCTCATGAATTGAAAGTTCACCTCATTGGTTAATACTTTTATG